AATAAAAAAATAAAAATAAGGGCTGAGGAGATAGCTCAGTAGAATAAGCACTTCCCTAGCAAATGAAAGGTCCTGAGTTCAATCCCCAGTTGCGCAAAGTACATACATACATACATACATACATACATACATACATACAAGACTGGGTGTGGTGGTGCACACCTGTAATCCCAGCTTTTGGGAGGCTGTAAACAGGTGGATTACCATGTGTCTGATCTAGGAGTGAGACTCTGAACACTCTGTAGACCCTTCCTTAAAAAAACAAACAAACAAAAAACAAAAAACCGAACAAAATTCTGATTTCAGGAAGGCTGGCCTGGCGGGCTCTGAGGGGAACAGGACAGGGTGGGGAGAAGCCAGGAGGAGGGTTGATTCCTCACCCCGCTGCCCCTGCTGTAGTCACCCCGCACCAGGATGCCACCTTCCTGTACACGGAGCCTCTGGGCCGCGTGGTGGGCATATGGATTGCGCTGGAGGACGCCACGCTGGAGAACAGCTGTCTCTGGTTCATTCCTGGCTCTCACACCGGTGAGGACCCCTGCCCTTCCCTGCCACGCCCAGCCACCTCCCCTGGGCTCCCGGGTGGGAGCTGGAGCTTAAGTTCCTTCTCTGCCTCCCACAGGAGGAGTGGCAAGGAGGTTCATCCGCGGCCCTGATGGCACCAGCTACCTGGGCTCAGAGCCGGATCGGGACGACAGTCTCTTTGTGCCTGCGCCCGTGAGCAGAGGTAGGAGGGGTAGGAGCCGGCGGTCGTGCCAGGGGTCTGTGTGTTCTACCACCAGCGGCTCAGAGGCTCGCTTGGGGTCACCCTCCGTGCACCAAGTCACAGCGTGGGAGAGGCAGGGCTGGCCAGGTCCCCAATTCGGGAAGCAGGCGGTTACCAATACGCCGTCCACATCAGGCGAGAATCCAGACATGGCTACTTATGGGATGCTTCTTGGCGCGAACGGTACGATGTCCCTGAGCCTCCACTACCCCACAAGTAAAGTGAGGAAGGCAGCGATGTGATTACGGAGCATGCTTAGCTACAGCGAAGCAGCCCGGCGCCCGCCCGCACAGCGGCGGCACTGCCATTGGCTAAGAGCCCGCCTACTTTGCATGGGAAAGGGGCGCGGAGGTCCAGCTCGGTGGAGCTGCTGCCCGATCCTGCCCACACTGGAAGGCCACAGCGTAGGGAGCCTCATCGCAGGGACCAGTGTCTACAACAGCATGCTTTAGGCACCCAAGCTTTCAGGAACAGGGATGAGGACGGGTAAACTGCGCTGGGGAGGAGGACCATGTCCCTTCGTGCCCCAGGAGGGGGAGCCACAGGGCTGGTGTCCTCCTGCCAGGCGCGCTGGTCCTGATCCACGGGGGAGTGGTGCACAAGAGTGCACAGAACCTCTCGGACCGCTCGCGCCAGGCCTACACGGTCCACCTCATGGAGGCTGAGGGCACTGTCTGGAGCCCACAGAACTGGTAGGTGGCCTGTGTGTGTGTCCCTTGGGGAGCTGCTGGCAGCAGTGGCCCCAGCTTCTCAAGGTCATCTCCTCTGTTCTTTGCAGGCTCCAGCCAACAGAGGAGCTGCCCTTCCCACCACTGTACACCTAAAGGCCTGTGCAGGGCCTGGTCGTCCCCAGAGCCCAGGACCTCGCTGGACCCTCCAGCTGTGGAAGCAACAGTTGTCGTCTTCCCTCCCCCCAGCAGCTCCCTGTGCCAGTATCTGTGCCCCTCAGCCCCACAGACAGAAGGCGAGTGGGCTCCCCCAGATCTCGGTCCCTCTGCCACCCCATGTCCCTGAGCAACGGCCTCCTGAAGGGGTTTAAGGCCCTGAGCAGCTTGGAGCTGCTTCTCCCTTAGACTTCTGAGGAGAGCACTGCAAGACAATAAAAGGGATTTCAGAAGGCAGCTTCGCCTTGGATCTTCTGTGCCAAGTAGCCCTGCTTTCCAGATGACAGCTGGTGGGAGTCCTCCCGCCCCCCAGCCCAGCTTGGCTTCCATGCTGTATTTGTTTATTTTCAGAGGGTCTCAAAACATAGCCCAGGCTGGCCTTGAATACACAAGAGTTCCTCCTGCCTCAGCCTCCTAAGTGCTGGGGTCACAGGCATGTGCCACCATGCCTGGCCTTAGTTTGCATGAGTTGAATAGCTTTGAGTAACTTTTATCCAGCACCCACTGTGTACGGCTGTGCTGAATCCCCACTTGCAGAGGCAAGTCCTCCTATTTGTCCTGTGGTCAAAGGGACCGATTCAAGGAAACGAGCTAGTGACCTGCCCCAGCCAGTCTGAGCTTATCTTACTCTGCTGGGGCGGGGACAGTGGCTCCAGGATAGGAACCAAGTCCCAGGTTCTACTTTGGTATTCTGTCTGCAGCCAGCTTGACCAGCTTGCTCTCAGGCCTCTGGTCAGGTCCTCCACTCTCAAGGGTCCCAAGGGGCCAAATGGGGGCTCCAGAGACCCCTTCCCCCTCAGACATGTGGGGTAAGCACTCAGACACCCAGATCTCGACTGGCTACCAAACTCTAAACCTGTTTAGCCAGGCTTTGACCTGGAGGTCACAAGCTGGGTTTTTACTGGCTGATTGCAGACTGAAGGTGTGTTTGATCTTGGCCTTAGTGCTACAGAAACAAAAACAACTTTTGGGCGGGAGGGAGTGGCTCAGCAGTAAAGCACTTGCCTGGTATATGTGGGGCCTAGGGTTCAATCCCCAGCAAAACCGTTTTTGTTTTGTTTTTTTCCATGTCCAGTACTAGGGATTGAACTCAGAGGCTTCACACTGAGCTACATCCCTAGCCCTTGAGACAGGATCTCATCAAGCTGCTCAGCCTGGAGTCAAGCGTAATTCTCCCGCCTCAACCTCTCAAGTGCTAGGATCACCAGGGATTATAGGTATGCACCACCATGCCCCACAAAATATTTAGCCTTGAGTTTTGAAGACAGGGTCTCACTATGTAGTGCAGACTGGCTTCGAACTCACGGTGATCCTCCTGCCTTAGCCTCCCAAGTGCTGGGATTACGGGCATCTGTCACCACACCTAGAAAAATGTTTTTTAATTGGGAGATTTCATATAATAACCTAGGCAACTGGCAACTAATGACCCCACCCTACTCTCTAGCATGGTGACTAGTGGCTGGAGCCACCTCAAGAGAGCCAGTCACTTCCCTGTCCTTGTTCCTTTCTCACCTGCCCGGGCTCTAGGACCATGGTGCTGGCTTATCCTCTACCCTCTTTAAGGCCCAGAGCAGAAGGCCCTTTGCCTAGGGCCCTCAGGGAGTTGGGGGTAGGGAGGATGGGGTGGGCATAACCAGTCAGTGCTGTTTCTCCAAAAGCTGGCCATCCCCTGAAATGTGGGGCAAAAGGCTTAACTCTCCCCAAGCCCTAAAGAGATGTGTGTCTTCTCTGGAGACCTGGAAGTGATTCCTGCTCCCTAGAGCTGTTTCTGGCTTTTGGCCTTGTTGGGCCAAAGTTCTCAGTCCTGAGAACCGGGTCTGGCCTCAGGGATCCTGCTGGACTCCTTTTCAATGATGCCAAAGGTTCATCTGCTCATCTCAGGTCTCCCAAATTCCTGCTTCTGCCCCAGCCCAGTGCAGCCCCTGGGGACTGCTGTGAGGAAGCTGCTCAGAACCAGAGCCGGCTTGGGCACGGGCCCCCTAGTGGACTAGTCTGGCGTGCCACTTATCTGAGGCTTGGCCGCCAGACAAACGCTAGCAGCACGAAACGTGCAAAGCTCTCAGGAGGGACCCTTGACAAGAAGCCAGAGTCCCGTCAGTCCTTCACCATCAGCACTGTCACCAACATTGGAGGCAGGGTGGGGCCAGCTGAAACAGGGCCTCAGTCCTGTCTGAGCTCCACTGGCCCTTCCTAGCCTAAGGGGTGGAACCTGGTGACGAGGGCACTTTCCAGATTCCTCCTCTAAGCCAAGCCGGGAGTAAAGGTCACGCTGGTTTCCAAGCACAACCCACCAAAGCCCTTGTCTCGCCTGGCCTTCTGCTCAGATCAGGACCTGTCTCGGGCAACGGTGAGTTTTTCTTACTGGAGGCTTGGCACAGGTGGGCCACAGGCTGGCTATGTCACACCAGGTCACACTGTACTGTTATAGATAGGACAACCGAGGCTCAGACTGGTTAATGTGCCCTAGTTACGGTCACTTGGTTAGGACTAATGTGGCCAAGAATTCTGGCCACAATGTGAAGAGTAACTATTATGCTCTGGCTCCAGCCCCCTTCCCCGAACTTCAAGAGAGAAGGGGGCTCTAAGGCACATCCACATTCTCTAAGTAGTTGTACATTCAGCTTTATAAATACCAACAAAACTAAAATCTGAAGAGCTTTGCCCCCTTTATTTCCAGTCCGAATCACCTGAAAACCAAACCCGCTTTTCACCCTTCAGCTCTCTGTACCCAGATGTCCAGCTGCCTCAGGTCCCACGCATCCTCCCCACGTCCCTGTCTCCTCCCTCACTGCCGCTGCATGGGAGCTAGGCCATCAGCAGTATCAGGAGGTAGAGAGGCAGAAGGAGGTTGTCTATCTGCGTAGTGTATGCTTCTAGGAGGGATACGGTGCTAATGGACCCCAAAAGCCAGGCATAGCTGTAATTGAGGTCCACTCCACTGTCAAAGATCAAAATCAGAGCCACAGAAATGATCTGTGCAAATATAGATGTCATGGTCCCCTCAAAAGTCTTCTTGGTTCCAGGCCACCGGATCTCCCCCATGGTGCTGCCGAAGATGGAGGCCACAGTATCACCCACACCCACGGCCAGAACCCCGGCATAGGGCACTAGGGCCCTTACTCCCCCGAGGCTGCCCTTCTGGGTGCAGGGTCTAGGGATCAGCCAAATGGGAAGAGACATGCCCAGGAGCAGGTAGATGTGTGTCAGGATGAGAGGCCCACTGTCTCGCTCATCCAGGAAAAGAGACAGGAGGCTCCGCAGAGTGTGGCCCAAGGGCTTGATGCGGAAGTAGCGCACATACTCCAGGAAGATGAAGACTGCCAGGCATACTGTGGCAGCCACATAGAGCAGTGGCCGATCAAACATAATTCCTGGGATGTAAGTGGCTACCACAATGAAGTGGAAATACTTTCGGGTGATGGCAGGGGCCTGGTGCTTTTTAGATTCAGAAGATGACCGCTTGGCATTCTGATAGAGCACCACCAAGCAGGCCAACATGGCCAGTAGAGACCAATAGATGAGGAGGTAGACTCGAGTTTCCGTCCGGAAGAGGAACTGAAGAAGCCAGAGCACGGGATTCCGGTGGATGAGCCAGTGGAGCCAGGGGAGGACAACTCCAAGGCCCAGCACACAGGTCATGAGGTGGAAGAAGATGGAAGAGGCCCAGGTTCCTGAGTCCATGAAGACAAACAGGGTGCTGAAGAAGATACCCATGAGCACCATCCCCACCACCACCACCAGCAGGAGAAAGTCCACGGGGTCCTCCTGGCTTTCCACCACAGTCAGAGAACGCTTGATAAGCTGGTTGAGGACAAAACTGATGCCACCTAACACCAGCAGGGCCTCTCCAGGAGTGAAACAGCGGGGCAGCAGGTACAGCAGGATCATGTTGAGATAAACAAAGATCAGCAAGACCTCCAGGACTTCGATCACCTCACCCACGCCAAGTGAGTGCTTCATGATATAAATGATGACACCTCCAGCCAAACCTGAGATGGCACAGGTGTTGGTGGGCATCGGGCGAGTGATACCCAGCGCCAATACTGAGGAGAAGAGGGCCACTGCCATGCCAGTGGCTGCCACCACGACGCCAAAGCGTTCGAAGTGTCGGTTCCCTGCAGCCTGGCAGCGCTCCTTCATGACCAGCCCGAGCAAAGGCATGACCATGGAGGCGGGCAGCAGGCCGCTGTTTGCGGTCATCCGGAACTGGAAGACGGCGTTGCCCTGCTGCAGCAGCCGGTCCCACTTGTACTGAACGTAGAAAGCCTGCACTGCGAGGGCCACAGCGCACCATGAGTAGCGGTCCCACACGGCGGCGTGGATGCTCAGCACCACTGCGAACACCACAGCAGCTTCGGCCAGCACCGGCCCGCTCGGCGGTGCCTCGGGAGCTGGGGCCGGACACTCTCGGGTCATGTCTTTAAGCCTGAAGCTCTGAGGAAGCCGGGTGACTAGGGACGCCTCGGGCTCTGGGCCCCTCACCCCGCCAAGCAGACTGGACCCGCAACCTTTTCCAGCTTCGAAGAGGAAGCCCCGTTGCAGTGCATTCACTGCGGCTAGAGGACTGGCGCCGTCACCCCTCCACTGCCAGCAACCGACAGTGCAGACGTCGCCACTCCGCGCTCTTCACACCACCTACCGCCCTTACTGCGGAGGGCTCCACTCCCTGGGCAGCGCCATCTTGGCCGGCTCCGCGTTGCCATCACGTGATCAGAAACCACGCCCATGCTCCAATCACCGGGCAATCACGTGAACGTGACGTGTGGGGCGGGGCCAGGATGCGCGCGCGCGCGTGAAGATGGCGGCGGACGCCGGCAGATTCTGTGTGAGGTGCGGAGCGGGCCGAGTCGGCTGGGGTGGCAGGAAGACGTGAATTCTAAGCCGAGTGGGGGCCTGGAGGGAGTGGGGAGAGAGATGTCGCGGCAGTGGCTGGATGAGCCCTGACCGAAGATACGGGTACCGAGACGCGAGGCGGTTACGTCCAAACGGTCCGCGCGTGGAGCTCTGAGCGCACTTGTCCCGGGGGACTGCTGCTGTCCCCTTCCCTCGGCGCCCGCCTCCGGGCTGATCACTCGGGTCCCTTGATCTCCCTCCTCCCGTCCTATGCCCCTGACGCCTCACCTGCATCTCCTCGCCGACCTGCCTCCCACCCCCACCCCCCGCGCAGCCTCCCCGCGCTCCGCCCGGCGACTGGCGTTCCCCCGATCCCCGGCTCCACTCCGGGGCTGTGAATCCCGCTCCCGTCTCTGTAGTGTTTGTCCACCGCGCTTCCCTCCTTTTCCTTTCCTATGCATGCTTTCAGTCGGACGACTTGCCCGCATCATCCCAGAGACTCCAGGCACAGTTCTCGGCTTTAGGGACGTAAAGATGAATTATTGAAAAGACGTCGCTCTCCCGAGAGCGCTCACCAGCGCCGGATCCCGGAGAAGCGCTTTCCAGGCGCTTTCTCATTCAATCTTCACAACTCCCAAGAGGCGCCTTCGATTACAAGATGACTCAGAAAGCCAGTGCCTAGGTAGCCCCATGATGGAGTGAAGATTCAGATGGGAGACTCTGCGACCCCACAGCTAGAACCACGTCCCCACCTTCCTGCGCTTCGGCTAGAGGAAGTGTCTTCACGGTCACAGCCCTCCTAACATGCTCTGTTCCTATGTTTTTCCTTACTCTATTGGTCTTGTTTATCGCCATCCCCTAAACACCTAGAAGAGCGCGTGAATGTTCCCCATCTTACCCAGTGTCACTTCCTTCAACTCTCTGGAAGTAAGGATTTCTTTTTTCTCTTCTTCCACCAATGCTGCCTCGTGCCTCACTTTTCCAGCTGCTGGGATTACTGGCCTGCCCAGTTTGTATTTTCCTGTGCTGCAAGGCATGTTCTAAGGCCGCATTCAAAGCAGTGGCTTTCTCTTTGAACTAGAGATTAAGAAAACGCTTAAGAATTTTCGTTCCATTGTTGATGCCCTCTGATTTGTAGTTGACTTTAGGCAGGTGGCCTTGTCATTTTGCTCTCCTGTTTTTCCAAATGTGGGTCCCTTTCAGAGGATAGGTGGTTGTGAAGCAACTTCTTGGGCTATATTAATGGAATAATTCCCGTAAATTACTATTTTGGGAGGGTCATGTGGGCCTGGAAGAAAGTCGGTTTGAATACAATGCAGTATTGGAGTTTTGGGATCTTATGTTCTTCATTGAATATATGTTATATTCTGGATGTGCTAACAAATAGAATTGCAGTTTGAAAAGCTTTTGCTGCTGAGTGTGCATCTCGTTTTATACCAGAGAGGTGTACCTCGGGGGAGTCATGTGGGCAGCGGCTGCTTTTATATACTGTCACATGGATTGTAACTTTCTCAGAAGTATTATCTCTGTAGCTTGGCTGTCTCTGCTTTCTCTAAAAGGTCTCAGTTCTAAATTATTATTCCTGACCTCCCAGTAACTTCCAACCAAGGGTTGGGCCATATTAATTGAATAGATCTCTAAACTGTGATGCTGATGTTAGTGTCCATTCACCTTTTTCAGAAATGCAGGTCCAGTTTGTCTGCTAAAACACTGGGCTGGATATTGACGCATTTAAAAAAAAAAAAACAAACAAACTCTGAAATAGGTTGGGGCTGGGGACATGGCTCAGTGGAATAAGCGATTCCCTGGCAAGCACAAGGTTCCACAAAAAAAAAAAAAAAAAAGAAAAGAAAAGAAAAATAGGTTAATTACTTTCTCTTCTTTAGTTTCTCCCCCAAATACTTAGCCCACATTTATTTATTGTACAAATAAATGAGATGCTGTGGCCTGTAATTCAGTTCTTTCAAATATATAGAAAATGTTCACCTGAACCTTTGTATTGAACATCACAGCTCAAGCTGCCTTTGTGTTTTAAGAGTCGTTTGTTCTGGCCTGGCGTGTTACATACCTGTACTCCTAGCAATTGGGAGGCTGAGGCAAAAGGATCCCCATGAGTTTGAGGCCAGCTTGAGCTATATGTTGATTTCAAGGGCAGTCAGAACTACATTGTGACACCATCTCAGAAGAAAAGTAAAAGCAAACCCCATTTGTTCAAATTTCATGTCTCAGTTTTGATGAAGTCTTTCCTCTGTTGCCACTGATGCTTGTTCTGTCATGTTTTGTATGTTCTACATTGTTAGTATTATATCCTGTAGTACGTTCTTTTGGATGATTGTGTAATGTGCATTTAATATATGAGGTTCATCAAGGTTTTAGATTTCTTTATATCTATTCTCAAACCACTGAATATGTGGGCATTGAGGATTTTTTTTTTTAATTTGTGTGTGTGTGTGTGTGTGTGTGTGTGGCCAGCTCAGCCCACCAGGGGGCGGGGCTGGCTGGCATGTGGTGCTCGGGGATTGAACCGCGGTCCCTGTGCTTTACTAAGCTTGTTCTAAGTAGGTGCTTTAGACCGCTGAGCCATCTCACCAGCCCCAAGGAACTGTTAACACTTATTTCCACAAAGATTCTTACTGATGAACTGTTTTCTCTTTCATTCTGCCTCTTCTTAGGACTTACACATAATAGATTATAGGTCTAAGAGAGAAATATTCTCCTTTGATATTGTTTTCATTTGGCATGTGTTTTATTGAGCCACCAGAGTGTGCCTGCCACTATCCTAAGGATAAGGTCTGCTGCTGTAGAACAGGAAAGTTCAGGGGCCGGGGAGATGGCTCAGAGGAATAAGCTCTTCCCTGGCAAGCGCAAGGGCCTGAGTTCAATCCCCGGTTCCGCAAAAAAAAAAAAAAAAACAGGAAAGTTCGCTTTGGTCACCACCTTTGCCTGTTTGCTGGGTGTGCTTTTGAATTCCACCATATCTTCTAGTGGTTAGGAGTCAAGCACTGCTCCTTGGGGCTGGGGAGAGAACTCAGTGGTATAAGCGCCTGCCTGCCAGCGGTATAAGCCTAACATCCTGAGTTTAACCCTGGGACCTTAAAAAAAAAAAGGCTCTTTCAATCCCTGGCTCCTGTATAGATTAACTTTGTGACTCTAGGCAAGTACTTAATCAGCCCCAAACCTTTATTTTCTAATGAGATAAGGAGAATGAGGATGCATGGCTTATTTTATTTACTCTTAAATTTATTTGCAGGGCTCGGTATAGAGCTCAGTGGCACAAGTGCCTGCCTGGCAAGCACCAGGTCCTGAGCTTGGTTCCTGGGTACCAAAAAAAAAATTTATTTTGCAGTGCTGAGGCTAGGCTCCAGGCAAATATGGGCAGCTTGACTACAAGAAAGCAAAGCTGTCTAGTTCATGGCTGGTCTTTGAATCATAGCAGCAATCTTGTCTGTCTCCTCTGGGGAATCACAGCTAACTAGAGACTTTTTTTTTTTTTTTCATTCACCTTATCTTTTTTATTGGATAAGATTTGATCAATATATGCAAACCATGTTTAAATTTTATAATTAGAGACTTTTAAGTTCCAAAGTGAATGCAGAGGCAGCTGCCTTGATACCCCAGCTTTTTGGAATTGGAATCTGCATGATCAAGAAAGTGAATTATTAGTCTGGGCTTGGTGGTGCACAGGTGTTATCCCAGCACGCTGGGAGGCCGAGATAAGACTGCAAGTTCAAGCCCGGGCAGTTTAGCAAGACCCAGTCTGAAAATGAGAAGAAGGGCCGGGAATGTAGTTCAGTATGCAGGTTCTGGGTTCAGTCTCCAGTGCTGGCCCCCACCAAAAAAAAAAAAAAAAAAAAAAGCTCAGACTTTCTTTCCTTTCCATTAATTTTGATGCTAACTCCAGTCTCAGCTGTGAGTTTTGTGTGATTAGTGTCCAATCAATTTTTTGGGGGGTTTTTGAGAAAGGCTCTTGCCATGCAGTATAGGCTGTCCTTCAACTTGCTTGGAGCCCAGGCTATTCTCTAACTCAGGGCAGTCTTCTTCTTCTTCTTTTTTTTTTTTTCCAGAACCAGGGATTGAACTCGGGCCCTTGCACTTGCCAGGGAAGTGCTTATTCCACTGAGCCATCTCCCCAGCCCCTGGGCAGTCTTCTTGTTCAGCTTTCTGAATGCTGGGATTACAGATGTGCACCTCCGTACCCAGCTTCTTATAGCAGTTCTTAATATCTTTTTGAGGGGTGGGGGGCACTTGGAATTGAAGCTCACAACCTCCGGCTTGCCAGGCAGGTGCTGTGCCGGTGAGCTATCTGTAGAGACAGGTTAAAGCAGTTAAGTGGATTCTATTGTAGACAATTTTTTTATATCTCTGTACAAAAATATAGTTTTACTACTATAAGATAACAATATGCAGTGTATTAATTATTATAATTCTCTTACCAACCTGTTTTTTTTTTTGTTGTTGTTTTTTGTTTTTGTTTTTTCTTTTTGCGGAACTGGGGATTGAACTCAGGCCCTTGCTCTTGCCAGGGAAGCACTTATTCTACTGAGCCATCTCCCTGACCCTTCCCCCCTTTTTTTTAACCAACCTGTTTTGAAACTCTTATTTATTTATTTTTTTGTATTTTAGGGAACAGTCTACAGAGTGTTCAGACTCATAGTGATCCGCCTATTTACAGCCTCCCAAGAGCTGAGATTTCTTACTGCTTTTATAATTTTTATTTTATCTTTTTTTTAAAAAAAATACAGGGGCTGGGGATATAGCTCAGCGGCATAAGCACCTGCCTGGCAAGTGTGAGGTCCTGAGTTCCATCCCTGGTACCAGAAAAAAAATTAAGAGATAAAAATAAAGAAAATTGTTT